TACTGTGTACATATGTATATATAATTATACGTATTGTATTATATATACACATATATCTGGATTGCATTGAAACAAATAGTCGGTTTAAAAAAGCGATGAAGATTGCTTTGTGTAAAAACGGATATACTTTCTTACATTCGTACAGGGGTAAATAGTCAATTTACATATCAATTGGAAAGTAACAACATATTGAAAAACTCTTCACTAAAATCATACTGCATTACAGGCATCATACTTGGAAAAAACTATTATCTATATTATCTTTCACATTGTTCTAAATTGGTGCTAGTTCAGTTATATTTGTTAATCTTATATACTACTTCGTACAAGGTTGCTAGATTTGCTACCAATCTTGACAGACACTCATCTCAATAACAATATAGACATCGAACCATAATAGGGATAGTCTTATACTTTTTTCCTTCAGGTCATCGCACGACAATTATCCGTGGCACGGACATATCAGTGAATTAACTCGACCAGCTCATAATTTTTCTGCAATAAATGTATTTTTTTGTTGTTTTAGATCACTTAAAACTAAGAGTAGCAGTAGTAGTTTTATAGCAGCAGCAGTAGCAGCAGCAGCAATAATAATAATATTTATCATAATTATAATAATATTTATAATATCTATCGTTAACATACTTTGATAAAATTATATTAATAATTATAGTTATAATCGTCATGATCATCATCATTTATATACATATACAATTACGCATACACGCGTACTACGCATATTATAGCAGAATTGGGACACCACACGATTGTACGCATATGTTACACGTGCTAAACCTTATAAGAAATCTTACATGTATCAATTCAGCTTTTACATAGCTCACGTAATTTTTGCTCTACATGGTTCAAAATCGTGGCTTAGATCTAAAATTATAATTTTAAATATGGAAATGGTCGTCGATACCGCGTTACATCATTTTTTCAACCACTAATAGGATCATTACATTCACGTTTTTAGTTTGTTTTATAGACTTACGTATTTAAAAAATACGTTAAGTTAATATTATATAGTAAAATATTTGAATTCATGAAACTTTACGCAAATTAAATTTTGTTCCCAACCATTTTTCTAAAATTAAAATTTATTTAACAAAACAACGTAGAGAAAAATCAATAACTTTTAGAAACCGTTTAATTTAATATAGAAAGATCTTACACAACTTTTGATCAATAGGTATGAGTTATTTTAAAATAGATAGTATAAAATTAGTGTACATTGAAAATCCATGCATTGCGGTTCCAAGCTTTCACACCACAGGGAGGAATTTACAAACACGTGAAAATACTAATATGTAAATATTGCGGGAGCACTGAGAACGCGGAATGACAAATCATACAATTACTGATATTTAATTTTAAAAAGTGAATTTTCCCATCGAAGACGCACCAACTTTTTAAGATTGAAACGCCTACGTAAATAGGGAATAGACTATTGTAACGTTATCAAAACGATAAACCGATCCACTGTTATAGAAGTTCAGAAGTAGTCAAATAATGATTAATAAATTTCCTGATTCTTGGCGCATTGATAAACATAAATTTAAACGATTCCAATTTCATTGACGCAATATCCAATATATCGTACAATATGTCTATCCACAGATCATAAATCATTTTTTGGATCTCCACGGTTAAATGCGATTGTACTTAATAAACCATGAGCAAACATATTTGCAACGATCTATTTATTACGCTAGGTTTCGTGTTCACGACCTGTAAAATTTATTTTCTCAACACGACAGTTTATGTGTACGACAATTTGAAAACAACATAGTATCACTTCATGATAAAGGGCATCAACAATGAGTTGTAAAGATGCATTTAGGTAGGGCAGCTCATATTCTTCGTCATACCCAATAAGAGAGCCTTATAATCTTTAGAAATGTGTTTAACATATTGCTTGACAAGCCAAACATTTGGAAAGTCAAGTATAGCACAAACACACAATATAAACTACAACATAGTCTCTTATGTGAGGAAGCCAAACGGATGCTCCTGATTACAAAAACGTTAGATATTACTGTTAGAAATCTGTTGTATATCAATTATTTTAGTCATTTCTTCTGTGTAATTTCAATAAGAATGTTTGAAGCATGAAACAACCAAGGAGCATACCTGGAACTTCCAAAACATATGAAACTCGATGTAGTATTTTTAAAATGCGCAGGGGGGTACGCGAATGTACGATCTGACCTGTACATCTATGTGCTCGTCCAAAGTTCTCATCGTTCGAAGACCTAGCAGGCACAAGAATCACCTTTGCCATTGCTTCTTTGGTCGTTAGTCAATTTAATTTGGTCAGGGAATTCATTGTACAGTTCCACCTGAATTATCAACAAATACAATTATATTTATATTTCATAATTTATAATATAAAAAAAAAACAAAAATATTTATAAGTGACTTACTTCACTTTCCTGGGCAAGAGCATTCTTTGCTATCGTCTGGAAGGCTTGTTCAACATTGATTGCTTCTTTTGCACTAGTTTCAAAGTATGGAATATTATTTTTAGATTGACACCATTGCTGTGCTTTCTTACTAGAGAACTAAAATTTAAATACATGAAAATTAATACTAATATATTCATAGGAAAAAAAATAAACATTAAAAAAAAATTTATATAAAATATCTTTACCGGTTTGGGTTCTACATCAACTTTATTTCCAAGTACGACAAATGGAAAGTTATCTGGATCTCGAGGGGAAGCTTGAATTAAGAATTCATCCCTCCATGAGTCCAATGACTTCAAGCTGCTTGGTGCTGATACATCAAACACGAGAACACAACAGTCGGCGCCTCTATAGAAAGCAACGCCTAGAGACTGAAACCTTTCTTGACCCGCTGTATCCCAAATCTACTCAAGGATTAAAAATGTTCCATTTAAATATCATTTCATAAAAATAATAATATGCAATACTATAGTTAAAAGAATATATTTACCTGCATAGTAACTATCCTATCATCTACCATAACTTCTTTGGTCAGAAAATCTGCTCCTATGGTTGCTTTATATTGATTGCTAAATTTTTTGTTTACATATTGATTCATCAGAGAGGTTTTACCGACTCCTGAATCTCCCAAGATAATAACCTTGAGAAGTAATTTCTTACGAGAAGCCATTGTAAACTAAAAATAAATAAAATTATTCATCATAAATTTTGTAAACAACTTGGTAGAAGCAGCCTAAAATTTCTACTCGATATAGTTGTAAATGCTTCGTTCAAAAAAATTTTACACCAATAATGCCTAAAATAATAATACACCGTTATAGACCAGAATCGAAATTTTTTATTTACTAAAAACAACTTTTGTGTTCAATTCTAAATTAAATCAACTAAACACAAATATAAAAAAGGCTCATGTGCGCATTTAATGAATCATTATATAAACACAATAGTCTGCTTAATCAATTGTACAAAGATTGACTTTTATTACGTTTAAAAAAAGTACGAAACATGGTTAAATTAATAAACTTAGTAATTAGAAATTGAATATTTTGACGCCGGATTATTTTCTACCATTAAATAAATATCGCATTAAAGTCTACAAGCGGGATAACGGATTAAGAATGATGAACGCGTGACTTTTTTCGTGAATCATTGAATATGGATTGGAAAAGTACTTCCCTTGTAATGACGTATGTACATTATTAAAAAAAGAATCACCGTGCGAAGATGCTTCGAATATTTTTTTGGCGGTTAATGATTAGCTTATCACAATAATATTACGACGGATACGCTACAGATTTCAAAAGTGAAGAGACAGTGAGATGATAGAGTACCGAATCAAATACGGACAAAATAGAATCCGTTTAACTGCGATGCTTGAAAATCTGTCAACACGCGATCTCGACAATTAGAATTTAATAGGACATTGTATAAGTGCCCTAAGAAAGGTACGTGACGCTCATCGTAGAATATAAACGGTGATCGATAGAATAAAAGAATGTCAATTGTTATTCGTGTTACCTTGATTTAGATAGAAAACAGTGAGAGAAATTTTCCTGTGCCAGCACTTCACACAAAGAAAATGGCGTGTTATGAAATCACGAGTATGACAACGATGTCGTCACCTGTTCTTCGCCACTTTTATCGACCGAGTATGATCAACACTCGATTATCGAAATCGACTGTTACAGTCGATACATCTTCGATTAAATAGGTGGAAACATTTGAAATTTATTTCCATATTATCTATTTACTTACAGTAAAATAAAACGAAGTGGTGTTATGAGAAAACAGAAAAATTGTGCTAAGTACAGTGAGTCTACTTATGTTTGAGACAAATGTTTTTAATTCTCAGTTAATACTGGAAGTTAAAAATATCATCATTCAATAGAGCGCACTTGATATACTTATTACAATTATTTAGATTTTAGTATAAAATAATTTTCCTTTATCTTAATGGGGATGAACAATTAATTAATAACATATTAATTTATTTTTGTTTCAGCAACAGAAACATTACACGTTTATGCCCTTTGAACTTAGAAAGTTGTGTATTAAGGACATAAATCTTT